TTTATCAAAACTTTTAGTGCAATACAGATTTCAATAAATCCATGTGGTTCTGAATTGATGATTCGGACATGAGAGAAAAATTATAAGAACAGTATGGATTTAACCTAGAATATATTGAAATTTCTCCAGCAATAGTGCTGATGAAGGCAGATTAGGCAGATTGCTCTCGAGCCTTTTCCATAATCACATAAAACAATCAAATCTCACTGAGGGCTAGTTTATTGGTAAATTGTGTATTCCCTTCATTATTTTTATTCGGTATATTTAATTTGTATTTGCATTTTTGTACTAACATTTCATTCGTTTTATTTTCACTTGTATTTATTATTTGAAAAGTATTTTATGTAGATTCTCCGTTAAGCTACCTGGACATGGTGGTTTTCTCACACTTAGAATCATGTGATTTCACCTTACTTCTGTTATTTATGTTTCGGTTCATTGTGGCCTTATCTTGCTGTTTATGTGTTCGATCATTCGAAATCAGGATATTTTGGTCGCCCCCCTTTTCCTTCGTTGCTCCAATGTCTTTCTTGGGAATTGCGCTCACGACTAATTCATGTGAGATGCCTCTCGTGCGTTACATGGTAATTCATTGCGTGACTTGGCTCCGTTACCGTTAGATACCGACTCAGTATCCGTCAGAAAACGTAATGTTATTGTTACTTGTAGTTTATCCTTAATTACGTTTGATTAGTTATGATCTTACTGTAAGCGCGTTCTTCAGAAATTAAATTACTTCCATAATTTTCCCCTCTCGATTTTTGGACGATAAAATTTGTTAAAAAAAGGGGGAATACGCAAGGAAATACTGTATAAAGTACTTTTACCTAAGAAAAGTGTTCACTGTTTTAACAATACGATTTCAATTTGCAACGTCGGCTATGCCTTCGAAAGATATACTATGTAACTCACCAAGTATACTTAAGTAGTTGCTTAAAAGTATAAAAATATAGTTTCTGAACTTCTTTTTTATTGAGCCAACAATTGTGTTCTACTGTTATACAGCATTTCCTCAATTGGTACGCAATAAATTTCTTTTATTTTGTTGCTATTCCAATCACGTCCTATACCTCGTGAGTGTAATTTTATTTATCTAAATACCAGTGCTGGATCGGGGTAGAGATTTATTAACCAAGATTCTGATTGCTGGACCGTAGCCGCATTGCTACTTGTTATGCAAAGCTTCTGCTTGTGGCGAAGGTGCCCTGTCATGATTGCTTGAGAAAGATGTTATGTTGCAAATAAAACTGATAAACAGATTAACTTCTGCTCGCTTCCTTACCTATCTTTGTATCTTCTGTTAGATTACATTATTATTATATTTTTTATTGTGTGATCTGTCTATGTATGTATGTATGTATGTATGTGTATATATGTGTGTATGAAAGTTAATACATTAAATCCCGATTATTCGAGATAATGTAGTTCAGAACCTTTGATGTTTGGAGATAAGGATAAAAAGGAGGCCGCACCCATTTCAAAATAAAAATTGAGGATGTAAAAATGTTTGCCTATTTTTATAGTGTAATATCCATTTTTTATTCATTATTAAATAACTCAGTATATAATTATATTACAGAGGTCTCTGTGAAGCATGTAATGTATGAAATGCATTGAAAATGTATAATTCATTCAAAAAGGTTATGCGCATCTGTTTTTGTTGTGTATAATGTCTTAATGGAAATTATTAATTAATGGCTTAAAGGAGATTATTAATTAAAAGTTTAATGGATCTGTGTGTTGAATTTTGAGTACTGCTCAAAAGTTTTTTAGTCAACAAAGTTTGGTACCTACATATTATTCAGTCACCGTGAAAGTTGGCTACCATCAAACCAAGAAAGTTGGCGGAGATTCTGCCAAAAGTGCGCCAATTTTCTTACGGAATTCTGAAGGAACTAACGTCTCTTATTTAAAAAACAGTCAGTATTCGACACGCTTTGTTTTTGCGCTTCTTGAAAAGGCTGTAGTCAGTTCCTTCTATTTTTTAAGTTCTCCGATTTTACTGGATTTTACTCTACAATAGGTAATGTTCTCTAAATGTAGTCGAATATTAAATTTTGATCGAAAATGTGTATTGAGAATTAATCTGAGTAAAAATGAAATATGTCTTGTTATGTTCTGAATTAACAAATTTAATTTCTGTTACGTTCTGTAATGGTTCTCTTAATTTCAGACGTAAATGTATGGAATTTTTTGTATTTAACTTATGAAAGTATAATAAATAATTTACGGTACTTTTCCGTTTCGCCGGCGCAAATCTCGCCAAGCAGACTTTATTGGCGACAACGTACAGTATACACATAAAAAATATTTAAAAAATGTCAGTTCTAAGAATTCTTTTTTTGAAGGCATAAACATTTTAATATCGCTTAAAATTTTATAAAAAGCCAATAAATTTGTAAAAAGACATTAATTTAAGAATTTACTATGTTACATGGTTCAACATCCTGATTCGCCGGTTCATATCACGTTTTACTCTACAATAGGTAATGTTCTCTAAATGTAGTCGAATATTAAATTTTGATCGAAAATGTGTATTGAGAATTAATCTGAGTAATAATGAAATATGTCTTGTTATGTTCTGAATTAACAAGCGATCTCATCTCACGTAAACTACTCTACAAAAATCTAATGCTCTCAGTAATCATCTACATTAATTTCAAGTTAAATCTTAATGTGGAACACAAGTTTAAATGCAAGAAATATTTCAATTCGTACGAATAGCTTACTCAGAAATTATGTAAAACTGCAGTGCTTTACTTCGCTAATCTAATGCATTCTCATTAGAATCGATGAATTTAACCCTTGACTTTACCTTTTCTATATTTTCGGCTTCGGGTAAGCGCTGTGATTGCATTCCTAATTGACTTAATTACCGAAAATGGCCTTAGGTCATAAAAACTGAACTATCTGATAAAATTCTATGTAATTATATGCCAATATTGAAAGAAACAATCAATCTGATAAGAAAAAGCTGCGACTTGTTTTGAAAATGAGGCGTAAAAGGTTACCAGCGAGAATATTCCGTTTGGCATCGGTTGTACCATTATTGGCGACTTTATCGCTTGCGCAGGCAAAACGGAAAAGTACCTAATTTACTTAATAGGATTTGTTATCTGTGGGTGGCAGATAAAATGTTAAGAATTCATATTATATACTGAAAAAAAGTTAAGAATTCTTTTTGACGTTCTTGTTTTGTTATGTAATTATGGATATTTAATGGCAGTTGTTAATTAATTTATAAATATTAACTAATTCTAGATACTTGTAGTTAATTATTGCTATCTCGTTGTTACATTAATTTCTTCTAAGACATTCCTTTTTCTTCGCCTCCCTCCGCAAAAGCCATGAGATATAAATAGGTCGCTGCAGGCATGTGGTTTGCGAGGCTAAATAGTGTTGCTCTACTTCGAGAAATTTTGTTACTGGAAATGCATTTCTAGAATGAACATTTAAGGAAATAAGTGAAGCTACCTGCCTAAGGGAATATCCTCTTTTTCTGATTAACAATTATAGTGGAATAAAGTCAAAGACACTCTCATACTTATTTTGTTTTATAGTTTACTATAGAAATAATATTTACAGTACATTTAATAATGTATTTTAAAGTGGATATCTCCCAGCACATTGAAATGAAAAAATAAAGTGATAAAAATAATAAAAAATAATTGGTTTTAAAATTTTTGTTTATCGTTCCGAATTTTCGTAAAAACTCAGATGAGAGCTTTCTGTTCTAGAGCCGTACCTTATTTTGCGTCCCGAATATTCCCCAGTCACCTTGTAAAGTAATATCCTAACAGTACTTAATCTAAATAGTGAATTAACTTTCTTAGAGTGCCAGATAAATTCTCATTCTGTCTTTGATGGAGAGTCATAACGCATAGCTGAAACATAAAATCAACTATAATATTTATTTTTGCTTCGACTTATAACTACAACATTACCGCAAACTGAACAATTTCTCCTTGAGGATTGAGAATGTAAGGTTAGAGTATTTGAGTATCGCAAAGCACGCGAGGTTATCTGCCTGTAGAATAATACCTTCGTGGAGGACTTTTCAGTGGGAAGCTGGCGTGTATCCATGATACATATGGAAAAAGCCGGCCACGAAGCCAGCCCATTCGCCTGGGATCGAACATTCTCAGTATTCAGCAGTTTTTAACCTCTCGGTCACTGATGTGGTGTTTTAATACAAGAATATTTTAAATGGGTTCAAAGCAAATATTAAATGAGAGACTAATCCTAGGTGCCATGCTAGCGCGAATCTTAAACAAGCCGAGAGCTAGAAGTCGCCAACAATCAGCACAAACACTATGGCAGGTACAATCTGAGAGTTCTACAACTTCTGGCTGAAGTTGCCAGTACTGTCTCCTTATATTCTTGCTCGTTAAACTCACTTAATTTACGTTTCTGGAGGAGCTAATGGAAATATTGAAATGCAGGAATGATTTACTTATACTCTGTTGTGTAATTGGTTTAGCACGTCTGTGGAAAATCTTGCTTCAATTCCAAGTTGCCATAATTGATTTTTCAAAACTTCTTTCCCCAGAAAATCTACGTCTAACGTATCATCAGCCGTAATCGTTCATAAAATACTGTCGTTTGAAGTTAATTTCACGAATTACAGTTGAAAAATAGGCTACCTATAGATCCCTAAAAATAGACCATATTCGGGACCTTCAGACTGTTGGATATCTATCGCATCATAAAAGCGCGTCAGCTTTTGTAACAGAATTCCGGTATAAAAGTGCTCTAGCATCTTTACGAAGAACCGTCACGACGCGATCCGAAGCGCATATGGAAGGAGTGTGGTAAATCTTTTTTTAATCAAAATGTCGACATGTTTGTTTAAGATTACGTACATGGGGCTAAAGATTATGGCAACAGAAGCAAATTATGATCTATTGCCTGATAGTTTCATTGCATCTGTTTATATGAAATGTTAATGCTTATTGAAGCATATCAACATGGTGTCCAAAGTTTCATTATTTTATTCTTTTAGGACATGCCGCCTGAGTACTCGACAGATGAGACTTCTCTTGTTAAGGTAATGGACAACAATGACGACTACATGACGTGACCCGATGGACCCGCATTTTGGTATGTAATTTATCATTTATTAAATTTATATAAAAAACAATAATGAAATTTGAATCTGCTTTTGCGGATTCAAGCTTTAGTTCGTCTTATCATTTGCCGAGCTGTGGTTGTTCGCGATGTTTTCGTGCTTATAAAGCAGAGAAAGTAGTAGCCCATCTACTATAATAAGCGGAAATGAGATCACAAGCCTTCTGATTTTCTTCTCTCACTTCCGTCTTCAAACTTTTTTTGTAACTTTTGTTTTGCTTTTTATTGAGCCTATATATATGTTCTTTTAATTTTACATATTTTTACTGAAAAACGTCAAGAGATCTAGATTGTCGTAATGGTATAAACCATCTAATTCAATTGACGGCCCAACATATATTTAATTATGCTCTTTAACTTCTTCGTTCAACAGATATTTTAAGATCTAATCGAGAAATGGCTGTGGAAACAACAGGAACACGCATTTGCAATTAAACGTGCTATTCAGTATTCTTAAGGTAGTTTTGATGTAAATATTTTTCAGCTGTAAATTAAGTCCCATTATTTTTCATCGAAAGGAAATTTGTAATACAAAATCACTCTCTTAAAGGTCTTGCATTTTTTTTTTTTTTTTCGAATGGAATATTTTCTCTTTTTCATTCCCCAAACAGTCATTCTGAAATTTGTGGGAATAAGCCAAAGTTATAATCGATTATTTTTCTGTTTATATATAAATTCAAAAAGAGGTTTCTATGTTTGGTTATATAAATGTGTTACCCGACTGCAAACCTAAGCAGATATGGAATCTGGCTAGCTAGTATTGGCGTCTTACTTGTTTAGCCGAAGAAACCATTATGATGATGCTTTCTGTCTTGTTTTTCAAAACAGATCGTTCCTTTTACTAAAATCACATAAGATAGCAATGTTCACCGGACCATGTCTATTGTTGCTATGTGTTTTGTTTTCTTGTTTTCGATTTCTGTACAAGCATGCTTTGGTGATAAGAACTAGTGGACTTTTGTGTTGATCCGTTCTATTTGTCTGGAGGTCATTAGGTTCTTGGCAGTTATCTTTTGGTCGAATAAGAATTGTGTTTGTTATGTTTCTTTAGTTCTCCATAAGTAAAAATATTTTTCTTTTCGTAGGTGAAAATGTTTGATGCGTTGTCTTTATCGCTTTAAAATCTTTATCGTGGAATGTGTCCTACAGTGTTTTACTTATTTTACTGGTTTCCTGGAATCCCTTGAAATTGTTTGTATTATTTAGGGGACTTTCAGTTAAACAAAACAAAAAGTTCTTCAACAATATTATGATATTAAAAAAATAATGACTGGTTCTAGATAAAGTTATTGCTTTTGTTCCGTACCCGAGTTTTAAGAAATGCTGACAAGGACATGAAAAATCATGAGAGGTTTAGGAGAACATCTGTTGTTGATCATGGCGTTAGAAGTGACTATCTGATATAGCATTGCATTTTCATGATTTGATTTCTCTTATTTTCGACGTAGATATACCATCCATTTACCATCGTGTTGATAGTGGCAGTATCCTGTCATGTTCTGTTACGTAAGCGGTGTCCGAACATGAGGGGCCGGATTCAATATGCCTAGTAAAATACTTAATTTTTGCAAAACGGAAAATATTTTTACACAAAAGGTAAATGTTTTTCGATTTAAGAATGAAAATTAATAGCTGGCATGTGACCTGCCCAACTTGATTTACAATATGTTACGTTCTCAATGAAACGTATAATCACTTTCTCGCTTATCTAACTAATGACATGCTTAATTTCCTTTTTAAGTTTTTTTATTTTTAATCCTTTAATTTTAGATTCCTTGAGATTTGCAACAACTCTGTCATGCATAATAACGATGCTTTCGACAAACCGGCTGGATCGAGAGTTTGGTGATTTAATAAGTATACTGTCGAAATGACCTCAGATTTCTTTATCGGTCTGCGGTTTGTTGTTAAGTGCATTTTCACGTTAAAAGATTGCACGAAACTTCCTATAAAGTATGTGCATAACACTCACCATTATTGTAACGAGTTTTCACAGTTAAAACTCGCTGTGCCTTCCAAGTCGACTAAGCTGCGAAATGAACTGAATAGTGATAAAATGCCAGTCTTTAGTCAAATCAAACTTAACATAACGTACTTAAAACGGAACATGTACCTGTTATAAATATGAAAAAATGTTTTCCATTTTTAAAAAATAAAGTATTTTTGTGGACATATTAAATCCGGCGCTTTAGTTGGTACCGCCCTGTAGTGAGAATTTGGATATTTAGGATCTACGAGCGGATATGCTGCTGTTTATGGTCAGGTTCTTCTTGCCTGGCTACTAAAGCTAGCAAACATTTTTAAAGAATTCCTTTATGAAACTGAGGTATCCGAATTTTAGCCTTGGTGATTTTATGGAAGTGAAGTCATTGTTCAGATGTGCTGCATGTTGTGTATATAACTATAGGTTACTTGAAAATAATTTTGGCGAAAATATCTCTTGAAGAGCAAGACCTGAACTTGGATTATAATGAAATACAACTACGTGAATTATTACGTTGCTGCGTGATAATTCACGTACTTGGCGGATTTTTTTAAAGTAAAACATACTGTAGCCTTAAAAAAAAAAAGCCTAACGGAAAACACTAATTAAAAAAATTATGTGTAAATAAAAATAATCGTATTAAACGTGAAAATTAATAATTTTTCTCCACAGATAAAGCAATAACTTTATTTATGGGGGGGGGAAACACCTATTACAGAAAGTAAAGGGAATTTAAAAGTACATTTAAATATCCTTGCGTTTATTTTTTAATAAACCGTGAATGTAAATATTTTAAGGTGTGACTTCATTTTATGTTAATGAAATATTAAATTTAGTATAACGTTAGTGTAAAACGTGATCGAACATGCTTCCGGCTTATATTTGAAGTACTGAATTCTAGCCTTACATCTTCATAATGTCTTGTTTAATTATTATTACTATTATTATTTTTAATTTGTGGTCATTTTAAAGTAAATATAAAGTGAGTCAGCAGACATGTTAGCATGTCTCGACTAAAATGTAAATTTTTTTAAAAAATTTAGTTACAGTTAGTAACTAACTTATGTTTAGTGCTTTTTATTATACTTTTATTATCGTGGAAGAAAAAAGAAAATGTAATTATGAGAAAAGAAATTCTATGTACTTTTTAAAGTATTTTCTCATTTGAGAATGCACACATCCAGATTATATATGTTTTTGTGGTAAAAGAAATTCTTGTATATTACTCATTCACATTCTGTTCTTTAAAAGAATGCTATTAAGGCATTTAAAGAACGACCAAAGAATAAAATCATAAGCAGGGATGCATTGTTCTCATTCTTGTTTACGTGTATGTGTTCCTATAGTATTACTGCTATGGGAAGATGGCAGCATTTGCGATATTGTATTCTACAGTATTAACGTTTATTTTTGCAATGTTAATGACTCACGTTTTCTGAAAGTATGAACTGTTTGTGTAATCTTAAGGAAACGCTTCTGGGCTGCGAATAAACCGCAGATACAAGGGACTTTCCTTGCAATATGGCAAAGAACTTTTAAGAGTTCTAAGTTTCTAACATGCTGCATGAGCATGGCACCTTTCAGCTGTTTCTAAATTTCATAATTTACATTTGCGTTTGAACGCAAGTTCTACAAGTAGCTTTCACTTTCACCATAACAGCTCTTTCCTATTGTTTTCAAATGTCTTTTGGAGCGGAACTGATAGTTTTCGTTGCCTCGTCGATTTTCGGGTTTCTGAAATCCTGCGCATTTCTTGCTGTCCCTGACCCTCTCCCTCCATTACACTAAACTGTTGACAAGCCGAACCAAACACAGGATCCCGTTTCATCGAACGGCTCCATTTATTTTCCAAGGGCTCCTCCCCACCTCGAGGACCCCTTTGCTCCTGCAGGGCCATGTGTTCTGCAGATTGCAAGACCTTTTCTGCAGGTCAGCGCCTTTCTTTTCCAACCGCGGCGCTCTTTGGCGCAAAACATAATGTTTTCAGACTGTCAGTTCTCAAATTGTTTTGGAAGTATCTCTCCCCGTCCGATCCATGCATTTTCTTCAGCTTTGTGTTCAGCTAAAATAATAATTCTAACGCTTTGGATTTACCAGTGTGCTTTCGCGAAGATTTGAAAACAGTGTTTCTCAAGTCAACTAATATAGGCTTCTTATTTTTATTTATTTATTTTATCAACTTTTTTTTAATTTGTTTATTTTTTCATCGTTGCTCATCTGCTTATAGTTGTAGTTTATCGCGACTGATATATTGCCGTTGTTATATGAGGGGTTGGAGGGAAAATTGACTAATGGGACAATGAAAAAGCAAATATTTATTAATAATTATAAATGTACACCAGGTGAAACCGAAACCAGACCCAATGAGAAATTGTCTTCCTTACACACGTTCCGAGAACCACTGGATTAACCTGTTTTGTACAATTCAATCGTCTGTTGTTGTACAGTAACTTCTAAAATATATTCTATTGGCCTGTTTCTTCACAGAATCGCCCTTATAAATTTGTCAACTTCCGTAACATGAAACTGAGATTCGGTTTACTCTCACATAATGTATCTGAAAAGACTGATTTTTTTAATCCAATTTCCGTGCGAAGCGATATTAGTAGCAGTTATCGCCAACATTATTGGTGGTGTTTTTCTCGTATTCTTCTTCGTCCTAAAAATACGTAAGTCTTTCTTTTATAGAAAGCCCCTCTTGAGAGGAAACGTTCTTCCTTAGTCAGACAGCTCTGGAAGGTTTTGACGTATTTAATCAACTAATTGCCATCCTGTAACCAATAATTAATAAAATATGCCTGAAATTATCTTTTTCGGTTATGACGATTGCTTGTTAATTTCTTTAATCAGTTTTCATTTCCATTATTATTTATTATTGTTATTAGGTATGGAAGAACCGCTGTTGTCTTGTTGCTTAGTTTAAGTCCGTAAATGTGGCCGGTTGGCTAGTTCTGCTTAGGAAAACTGCTTTTGTGGAGGATATTCTTGT